AACTTCAACTAATTCTCCACGACGCGCATATTCTTTAACGCATTGGTTGCAAACCATTGTTGAAGTAAGGGAATAAGGGAAAGGGTAATGAATGAGGGAATGAAAGGGGAGGAGGAGGAAATAAAATCCGATCTTAATCCCAAATTGTCTGAAAAAAAATTTCTACACGTGATATATCAAAAAAGGTAGCGGCTATAGTATATTAGAGATGCCACGAAGGGTAGAGGAGCTACATCGCAAGAAAGGAGGTCGTACACATTACTGAAGAACAGAAAAAAAAAACAAATAAAGCAAAGCTGCTGTTTTTCTTCAAATGTCATTCAATGAGATGCCAATAATTGGCATTCATCTAAATTTTCAATTAGCAACAGGAGCTCATTGACATTGTAGTAGGAGTGACGTTGTCGATGGTCAAACTCGCTACGTAAGTTTCATTAGCGACAAGCAAGATCAAATTGGAGAAAGGAATGAGAATGTCGAAATTCCTAATTCATTGAATGACTTTTGATGACCACTGTAGTTCGATCGCGAATGAGTTGACAGAAATGGATGGCGGATCTTGCTGATCTGGTCGTCTCGAAAGTGCATCTGGAACAATGTTATCAGATCCACGCTTGTACTTGAAATCAAAATCATATTCCTGGAGTAGCTCCATCCAACGCGCTTGCCGCCGTGTTAATTTGGGTTGTGTTGGAAAGTGACGCAAGGTAGCGTGGTCGGTGTATACCACGAAGTGAGTGCCATCGAGGTAATAACGCCAGGTCCTAAGTGCATGAACGACTGCTAATAATTCTTGCTCATGTGTTGGGTAATTCTTCTCGGCTGAACTAAGTTTCTTGGATGTAAACGCTACTGGGTGGGACTCTCCATGCTCATCTGTTTGGAATAATACAGCACCTATAGCGAACCCCGAGGCATCCGTCTCTACTGTGGTGGTTAGGTCAGGGTCAAATATTCTGAGCACAGGGGCCTTGGTTATGGCATTTTTCAAGGTAGCAAATGCGCGCTCTTTTTCTTCATCCCAAGAGAAAGTGGCACTGTCACCTAAGAGAGCAGTCGAGGGTAAGGCAATAGTGGCGAAGTCACGAATGTACTGCTGATAGAACTGAACAAGGCCAATAAACTGTTGTACATCTCTCTGCTTGGTGGGACGAGGCCACTCCTTGATAGCCTTGACATGACCAGCGCTTGTCTTGATGCCGTCTTTACAAACAACATGCCCTAGGAATTCAGTTTCTTCTTGCATAAAGGAGCACTTGCTAAGTTTGGCATAGAGACGATTCTTCCGGAGGAGCGAGAGTACACTGCGAATATGGGCCAGATGCTCGGTCTTGTTCTTGGAGTAAATTAGAATATCATCCAGGTAGAGTACTACACATTTATCTAATACTGGGCCCAGCGCTTGTGACATCATGGTGGAGAACGAAGCAGGAGCATTGGTTAGACCAAATGGAACAACATTAAATTCATAGTGGCCATATCTGCAACGAAATGCTGTCTTATGAGTGTGTGCGTCAAAGATCCGCTGTTGGTGGTATCCTGACATTAGATCGAGTTTTGAGAAATATTTCACATTTCGAAAGCGGTCGATGAGCTCATCGATGCGCGGAAGTGGGTGGCGATTCTTGCGTGTGATTCTATTCAAACCACGGTAATCCACGCACATGCGAAGGGTTCCATCTTTCTTTTTGACGAAAAGAACGGGAGCTCCATAAGGTGATGTGCTGGGCTTAATAAATCCCTTAGCTAAGAGCTCATCCAGCTGTTTGCGCAACTCGTCGAGCTCAGCGATAGGGAGGCGAATCACAGGGCGAAAGGGTGGATCTGCATTAGGGTCTGTTTCAATCTTCATAGAATCGCCTCGGCCTGGTGGAAGACCTGCAGGGAGTGAGTCAGGAAAGACATCAGGGAACTCAACCTGTATAATTGATGCAATGTCAGGGTGTATGTCGGAAGTGGCATTTGTTGAGAGCTGAGGGAGTTTCACTGTGGCGAGGTAAACCTCGCTGTCTGGCTGTGCCGCGACAGTTTGGAAATGCATGTGGCTCATAAGTAGGCCGCGAGACTTAGCTGTAATGGAATTTGTTTGGAATCCCCTGCATGACCAGCGCACGGTATTACCATTGTGTGTGAAGTGGAGATCATTGGTGCGCCAATCGATAGAGGGGTTAACTGCGGTAAGCCAAGGTTTGCCAAGAATGAGGTCATAGTGTTTGAGGGGGTAGACGAGTGATTAGCCACCAGTATGCTCTGTAGCGCTCAGCAGTCGGTCAGTTATATGGGCCAAGATAGCCTTCAAGACCCTGAGGCAGCAGCCACGGCCCATTATCCTGTGGAATATCTGAACAAGCTTAGTCCACCAGGCTTGCCTCCGTTCAAACTAGAGTTAAAAGTCGGTCAACCTGTCATTCTTCTTCGCAACTTGAACCCAAAGCGCGGACTATGTAATGGTACCGGCATGATTGTGCGTGCGTTAGGCACAAGAATGATCCAAACTGAGGTCATCAAAGGGCAATATCAAGGAGAGCGCGTCTTCATTCCCCGCATACCGCTTAAGACGATTGATGAGCGCTCTTCCCCAATCATGTTCTGCAGACGCCAATTCCCAATCAAGCCAGCCTTCGCTATGACTATCAACAAGTCTCAAGGGCAGACACTTAAACATGTTGGTGTTTATCTTCCTCAAGATGTCTTCTGTCATGGTCATCTCTACGTTGCTTTATCACGGTGTACTGACCCAAACAATCTTAAGGTACTGATTGGGAACGGGAAGATAGAAGGCAAGCCTGGGATATACACCCGAAACATCGTCTTCAAGGATGCTTTATAGGCATAATATTTTTAGATCTTCAGGTATTCTGTCATCTCCAGGTCATTAATGTCGGCTTTTAACTCATCTCCGCCGTTATTTCACCTGATGAATATTCTGCAAGATACTTCTCTCTTGGCTGTAGCATTTATTTTTGTATTTTATTTTGTATTTTATTAATTTATATTGTGTACGATAAAGATAACCTTTTGTGTTGTTTTCACGAAATGAGACATTAAATTATTCACGAGGCGAGCAGACCGTGGCGAAGCCACGGTCTCCGGCTCGTAATAAATAAAGATCGCAGTCACCGTTTGACATAAAAACAAATTTAAACGTCGCACTTTCATTCCTTGTGCTTTCATTCCTTTCTCAACCTTCATTCCTTTTCATTCTCTATTTCATTCCTTTCTCTACTTTCATTCCTTTCTCTACCTTCCTTCATTTTTCTACTTTCATTCCTTTCTCTTCCTTCCTTCATTTCTCTACTTTCATTTGCTATTTACCTCTCCCGATTCCCTCTCGCATTTCATCATCATTCGATCATGACAAAACTATTTTGCATCCTTGACGGACAATCCACGGCATTCCCTGTTGAGGTCTCAGTAGAAGACACTATCGACGACCTCAAAAAAGCAATCAAGAAGAAAAAAGAATCTGAATTCAACGACATTGAAGCTGACAAATTGATTCTCTTCCACGTTTCTGTTCCTGATGAGGGCGCTACAATCAATCTCGCCAATATTGAATCAAAGGAGCTACTCACCAGAGCAACAAGCAAGATCTCAAAGATATTTGGCACATCGCCTCTGCCTGAGGAGACTATCAACGTCATTATTCAGCGGCCGTTGGAAGGTAAGGGATTGGCTATTTGTTCTCAAACTTTTGTGTATGACATCATAGTCTGCAATTGCGTCTTTTTGATTGCTGCTTCCATTTTGAGCTTATTTTCTCCACTAACTTATTTTCCCTCCATTCCGTTTCTTGTCACAAGTAATGAAACGCGTCATGCTGATTGATTGCTGGTTTATCTCTAGTATGATGACTGCTAACCAATATTTTTCTATCCCGGCATCTTGCTTCACAGACCGTGTATCAGAGGCCGAATTCGTGCAGCATGTTCTAAGCAATATCACTGGCAGAGATCAAACACGTCGATCCAAGACCAGCACACGTCGTGGTTACTCGATAACTCCCGCGTCTGTGCGAGATTGGAATGACTTTTTACCTTTGGTACGCCGTATGCCTCTGGCAACCGAGCCTCAGTACACACCTCCTAGGTTTTCGGCAGTCAGGACCTTCACAACCAAGTCGGATTTACAAGGGATCTTTCGCTATGACGTTGGATCGGTCCGAGGCCTGCCGCCATTTACAGACACGCGCGGCACTTATAGCTTGACGTACGGCCTTCCAGACCTGATTTGCTCGCGCGAGGATAACCAGTTGGCACTGTTTCCAATTGAAATGAAAGACCTGTTATGCTGCATCTGAATGACGGCACCAGCTACTCCGCTGCCTACCTAGCACAAGGATCATCGTCACAGGGCCCAGTCGGTCCGCTAAAGCAGATTTTCGGCTACATGAGACTTAATGGATTTCGCTATGGAGTTCTGTCAACCTATACTCAAACATGGTTTATCAAACGAGCTCGGCACATGGCGACGGCATCCTAATCTCGCCCACAATCCACTTTGACAGGACAAACCCGACTCTACTGCAGTGTTACCTGTGGCTGATTCGGACGGTGGATAGTGATACTGAATGGCAGCCAGCATACCCGATAGGACCTCAGTTGAATACATGCTCTCGAAGGAGCAACCTGAGGATAAGGCTACAAAACGTGACAGTGACTTTGTTCCAGAACGTGGTGGTGGTGGAAAATGGAAGCAAGGATTCAGAGCCTATTTGACGCGAAGCAAGTAAGAGGCTAATACTCAAATGTGTTTTGATCGAGATTCTCTCACCAAAGGTGGCTGATCATCCAGTTTTTGATTGCAATCTAGGACCAAGAAGCAGGCAACAGGATCTATGCAATTGGAGAGACGCACTGTTCCAGCTTTCAAGGATATGAGACTTATTACATTTGGCGAGGGTGCGCGTACGTTCCGAGCTACATGGATGGGCGAGGATGTAGTGGTGAAAAAAAGCCGACATCTGGAAGCAGTCCCCAATTGTCGATGAGCTGGAGCACGAGGCCACGATTTACGAGGAGCTTCAGATGCTACAAGGTCACTTCGTTCCCGAACTGAAGCTAGCTGGGATCATGGACGGAATGGAGATGGTTTTAGTAACAGAGTTCACTGGGAGCGACCTCTGCAATAAGCATTTGGATGCATCTGATCGAGACAAGATCCGCGGAGCACTCTCAGCGATCCACGATTTGGGTGTCCTGCACGGTGATATTCGACCAGATAACATTACAGCAAGACTTGATGGGCAGGATTCGCGTTCTTTTTTATAGACTTTGGCTTTCAAAATTTGCAAAACACAATTCAGCCTGGATCGCGAGATGGGAGAATTGGAGGCGCTACTTGAGCTGATGCCATGGCCCGAAGGTAAGACGGTTAATACGGTAATGGTAATGGTCATCGTGCTTTTGCTTCTCAAAGTGTGTCAGGTTAACGCCTTAAAGTGTACAGATTATCGTGTAGGTAATGGAGGAGTTATAACAATCGGAGTGAATGGAGCTAGCAAGTGCGAATAGCCGAGCTCAAATACAGCATGTTGCAGGCCAGGAAAGAATGACAGAATCCTTTTTCTCATCCACCAAGGGTACCCATTGTCTTGCGTAGCTTAAAGCAATACCTAGCTGCAAATCGTTATACAATAGCTGTTTGCTCGAACCTTTCAGTTCTTCAATTTCACCCAACGATAACCCGATGGATGGAGAGAGACATTTAACTTCGTTCGCATACTCGTAAGAAAATAAAGCTACATAGCTCACGTAACGAATAATGTATAGTGCGTGCCAAAACTGATGCAATAAATTGCATTTTTCAACATTCATTCCTCATTCTCCTTCTTCCTCTTTATGATCTTCCCTGCCACCACCGTTTCTCATTCTCATTTGTCTCACCTCCATGGAGTCTCATCGTCATCGCCATCAGTGGCCTAATTAGCATTTAATTGCAATTTGCTTTCAGCATCTCATTGCATCTATTATGGCAATTAACAACTTCTTGTTTTTATTTATTCCTGTTACTTCTCCTTTCCCCTAACGATGTTCCCTCCTTTAGCCTTATATAACTCCCTCATCCTCTTCGGCATACCGCAGTATAGTTTGTGTAAGAATTCAGGAGGGATATGTGTCCATACGTCTTGGACTCTCTCCCAGAGATCCTCCATATTCTTTGCCTTGTCTGGATAATGATCCAACTGCACCTTCATGTATGCCCATATGTTTTCTATTGGGTTGATGTCAGGAGAGTTTGCTGGCCATTCCATGAGAGGTATCTTAGACTTTTGGATATAGGTCATTGCTATTCTTCCGGTATGAATCCTAGCATTGTCCTGCTGAAATATAAATTTGTCCTTATCCATCAAGTAGTAATCCCTGGACTTAAAGATATAATCCTTGAGAACGTCGACGTATGTTACCGAATCCACCTTCTCTTGGAGCCAGCAGCCATCGCCTGGTCCGTAGTAAGTTATACAACCCCAGAACATCATTTTGCCTCCACCGCCTTGCCTTGTCTTTTTGATATGATGTGCTCGTAGAGTTTTATCCCATCGATGCTTGTAGTAGTACTTTCTTCCGCAGGACCCAACTCTGCTAAAGATGGTCTCATCTGAGAACATGACGTTCTTCCAGTCTTCTAGAGTCCAGTCCAAGTGATCCTTTGCAAAATTATATCGAGCATAGATTTGCTTCTTCGTCAGATCAGGCTGCTTCTGTTTTACATATGCCCCCATATCATCCTGCATAAGGAACCTCCTGATGCTCGATTTACTAACCTGCACTCCTTCCCTCAATTGAACAAGTTGTTGGCCATCTTTTAGGGTCTCCAATACACCCATGTCAAAAAATCTTGATAAAAGCTGTTTCGTTTTCTTAGTAACTTTGCAGGGTCGGCCCCCTCTCAGCACTGGAATACTTTCTTTGCCTCTTTTCCTAATCCTTTGAGCTGAGGTAACAGATATCCCTAAACTCTTTGACACTTCTCTGGAAGACTTTCCCTGATGAAGTAGAGCAGTTGCATTTTGGATAGTTGATTTGGATAATGATTTCATGTTATGATAAAGATATGGCAGATATGTAGAGTGTCGCTTGGTGTATCAGTGGTGATGGTGCTATAAAGAAAGAATAAAGAATAAGAAAGAAGTAAGGGATGGACAAACCTGACATGTACTTTTTACCAAAACTGATGCAATGAGACATGACTATACAAATGGCGATTATTCGCTAATTGCGTCATTGATGAGAACAGCGATGACAGTCTACGAAGGTGAGACAAATGAGAATGAGAAGCGGTGATGGTAGGGAAGATCATTAGAAAGGAAAAGGAGAATGAGGAATGAATGTTAAAAAATGCAAATTATTGCATCAGTTTTGGCACGCACCATAGATGGGAGCAACCTGGAATACTCTTTATTTGCTCTAAACCTATTAGCGCTCCTGCTTGTTTCTGATAGCTTTTCACTACTTTGAAATTTTTCTCTCATTTGGACAATTTTTAACCATCGTTTTTTTTCACCTATCAAAACTTCGTATTGCCCCCTTTCGCCCTTATGACTGCTAACATCCGCTCAGGCATACTTCTTATCAAATTGCGGCAGACCTCCTTCGGCGTCTCCTCCTCCCACATCTGGCCCACTCTTTCCCAGAGTTCCAGCATGCCTTCTGGAATGGTCCCATGTTCGCGAATTTTTTTTTTAAATGACCCCACAAATGCTCAATAGGGTTTAGGTCTGGTGAATTGGCAGGCCATGTGAGTATTCTACCTGACGCTCTTGTCAATCCAATAGAGGCAAGGTAGGTTGTGACTCTCTTAGCCGTATGCTTAGAATCATTGTCTTGTTGGAAGATAAATTGCTCTGGATCAATGTTGTACCAATCCACAGTATTCAATAGCTCGTCCTGGAGGATACGAATATACAGCTCGGAGTCCAGCGTGGAGTCGATCTTGGCCAAGTAGCCTGGCCCATCCCACGTCATGCAGCCCCAAACCATGATCGAACCACCACCATGTTTGACTGTGGGCGAAACTAACTTTGGGTCAATATCGGCCGCCTTCACCTTTGGTTCTTTATTTGTTTCCACCCAAACATAGCGCATGCCATCAGGAGATATCCTACAAATTTTGGACTCATCGGACCAAATTACTCGCTTCCAATCAGCTTCGGTCCAGTCTTTGTGCTGGAGAGCAAAGTCCAGTCGAGCTTTCTTTTGACGTTTTGTTAACCTAGGCTTCTTGACGGCTTTTTTAGCTTCCAGGCCTATATCTCTCAGCGCCCGACGCACCATATTAGCTGACGCCGGATCTTCGTCCTCATCGTTATAGAGTCTGGTAGCATGGACAGCTGATGAGACTACACCACGGTGAAGCAACAATCGAATATAATATGCATTCCGGTAATCGAACTTCCGTGGCCGACCAGCTCTACTTTTACTCCTGGCAGGCCCTAATGTCTTGGAGATATTATGGACTGAGGACTTGGATATGCCTACTTCTGTGGCAACCTGACGGATGGACTTGTGCTGCTCGAGTAAATGGAGAGCATCCTCAACAACGGAAGCTTTGATTGGCTTCATCTTTGGAGTGTTTAGAAAGAGTAACGTAGGCTCCTAGAAGAGTGTAGGTGAAGAGTATCTACTCAAGTGTGTGGGAGATAATTTGAAAAAAATTCAGCAAAGGTGCGTAAAATAAGTGATGGTTATATAATTGTCCAAATGAGATTAAATACTTTTGTCAATGAAAAACCATGGTGAATGAGACTAGAGTATTTTAAACTGAACCAGTCCACGTATCATTGGCATACTTGTTTACTCTGATAAAAATAAAAGTGCAAGCAACCATCGCTATTATTCTAATCAAGATGGAAAACATGAGCGTGGAACATTTGGACAAATTTGGAAGCCACTGTATCAGCAGTCAATGAAATCTTATTGATGTCTTCAAATAAGGCAATCACTTCTTGTTCCATATCATCATATTTTCGTCTCGTCTATTTCAAATTAGTAAACTTTGTTAGGCTCCAGTGGAGGGAAAGTAATAACGTAGAAATAAATAAAATGATAAGTGATACACTATCATGCAAAACTGATTCAATAATTCATTCCCATGTGCATTTCTTTTTTTCATTCCTAGAAACCGTATATGCATACACCACTCATACTTTGGTTTAATAAAGCTCCCGTCTTCTTCTACGTCATAGTGATGCGTTGTGACATTAGCTTGTCTCATTTGAATAGCTAATGACTTTTTTGTTCATTCAGGTCATTGAATCAGTTTCACATGTGCCCATTCGGTGGCCAAAGATCTTTATTCTTTTGTGAGCCATAACCTTACATCAATAGTAGTATTCCAACCATGGGCATCACTGACAGCTTGGAGTCTCTTATGGATACCTATGATGAGTTTGCGGCAGAAGCCACTGGGATCCTGTACCATTCAACCGATACTCGCTCCCATAGTTTATCACAGCTCTTAGCTCGCTCCGGATACCTAGAGAGCCGCCTATCCAATTCTGCCCACATGTGTTCAATAGGGTTGAGGTCAGGGGATTGTGCTGGCCACTCTAGAAGTGTACCTTCCTCTTCTGTCAGATGTACTGACTCCAAATACTTCCTAACAATCTTCGCCGTGTGCTTCGAGTCATTGTCGTGCTGAAAGACGATATCGCTTTTAGTTAGGCCCTAGTCATCAAGCGACATCTGTAGATCCTCCTGGAGTAGTTTGATGTAAAGTTGTGCGTCCATATTATTGTCAATCTTTGCAATGTATCCAGGTCAGTACCATGAGAAGCATGACCACACTTTAACATTACCACCCCCAAACTTGACAGTGCCTTGCACCGACCTGCGAGTGAGGCGTCCCGGATTGTCGTCCCAGATCCACTGCACGCCATCAGAGCAGATTCGGTTTATTTTCGATTCATCTGACCAAATAACCTTTTTCCAATCTTCCAGAGTCCATTCCTTATACTTTTTGATAAAATGCAAACGAGCTTTAATATGCCGTCGACGTAAAGCTGGCTTATGTACACGCCTCTTTGCTGTCAATCCTAACTCCTTGAGCCGTCGTCTAACGGTGGTCTCAGAAACAGCCGCTGGTATGAGCTGGTTGGCTCTGACGGTGGCCTCAACTGCAGACTTGAGTGTACCTCGTTTCATGTTCACCTTAAGATACTGCATGATACCTCTAGGTACTTTCCTTGGTCGACCGCCTTTATTGACTGGCATGTACTCCTTATTATGTGCATAGATCCTGGTGGCCGTCGCTATTGATATACCAACACTAG